ATATACCATATCTCCCTTTAAATGTAAACAAACATTTATTAATAATCATTTAGGGGATTTAGATGCTGTTCTGTCCAATCTGCCTTTTGTTTTTTGTTGGGTGAAGTGTTTTGGGGTATTAAAGGAAGCCTTTCAGGTGGTCTTGGTTCATCAAACAACATTAGTCTAGAAGGAACCCACAGGTTATCATCCTTTGTAGAAACAAAAGCAGAAGCACTTTTCCAAAGCAACATATCTTTAAACCAAAATTTTAAATTCAAGATACTTTAAAGTATATATGTTGGTTTAGCATAGCAGCCTTTACAATGAAATGTCTCTCTGTATTTAGCTCATTCAAAGTAAAAATTCAAAGGAAATAAAATGATTTACATAATCCAGACTCTGTGTATATTTTCTATATATATGTGGTTTATTTTTCTTACTCTATTACTTTTTCTACAAGTTTATTATTTATTTTGTTATATTCACTCCTATAACCTATGACTGTCTAAACTCCTTTTCTTTTCTCTCCCTAGCCTACATACATTTTTAAAACATACTGTGTCTCATATAGAAGTCTTTTATGTCTAAATTTGTTCTGTTGTGTATTTGAAGTCCTTTTATGACAAAGAGCATTTAAAAATGGTGAGCAGTGTGGTTACTACAAGTGTAGATACTGGCTTTGCCTCTCTCAGCCTTTTGACATCATAGAGATATTTCACCACCAGCTCTGGGATTGCCAGGTGGTAGCAGTCCTCACCACCTCAATTCTGGGTAGCACCATGCAGCTTTTAATCTGAGTAAAATCTAAGTCTGTCCTGTAGCAAACTGTGCAGCATGGTAACCTCTGTGGAAGGTGGTGGGAATCCACCATGCTTCCCTGCCTATACACTCTTAGCAGACCCTAGCCAGATGCTTGTCCAGGAAAAGAGCGCTGAGCTGTTTGCATGCTCTAAACTAATTCCTTCCCTATCCTGAATGGGCATACAAGCATCTTTAGCTGAAGTTGGGGGAAGCGTCTGCTCCAAACATTTGTTGGGTGCCATTCTGTAGGTGGAGGATGCTCATTCATTCCCAGCTGCCCAGACTTGAAATAATCATACAGAAACTGAGTTATTTAAAAACACTGTTTGTCCTATTAGCTCACACTGATTATTACCTAACTCTTACATATTAAATTAACCCATTTCAATTATTTTATATTTTACCACAATGTTTATAGTTTACTCTTAAAGTTCTGGGATGTTTTTCTCCTTTTGCAATACATGGCATCTCCATGACTCTAATTTCTTGCCTCCTCTGTCTGCTTGGAATTCTCACCTTACTCTATTATGTTTGCCCTGTTGTGGGACAAAGGATATTTACTCATTAATCAATAAAAGCAACTTCTAGACATGGACGGAGGGGGAGGACCTTGGACTTTCCACAGTGTAGGGAACCCTGACTGCAATTTGGACTGGAGAGGGAGGGGTGAGGAGTGGGGGGAGGGGGAGAAGGGTGGGAGGAGGGGGAGGGAAATGGGAGGGTGGGAGGAGGTGGAAACTTTTTTTCCTTTTCTCAATAAAAATAAAAAATAAGTCTCTTGCCAACCCTAAGGTGGCTCCCTTAACTAAGAATTGTGCTTCTGTGCTCCCCTATCCAACCTTCCTTTATCCCAATCCTCCTTTTTCCCCAAGTTCCCCCCATCCTCCCCTTCTCCCTTTTCTCTCCCCATCTCCCCTTACCCCCATCCCACCCCACCTCCAAGATCCCACTTTTCTCCCTGGCAATTTTGTCTACTTCCCATAGCCAAGAGGATAACTATATGTTTTTCCTTATGTTCACCTTCTTACTTAGCTTCTTTAGGTTCACCAATTATAGACTCCGTGACCCTTATTTATGGCTAGAAACCAATTATGAGTGAGTACATCCCATGTTCATCTTTTTGGGTCTGGGTTACCTCAGTCAGTATTGTGTTTTCTATTTCCATTCATTTGCCTGCAAAATTCGAAAAGTCGTTGTTTTTTACCACAGCGTAGTACTCTAATGTGTATATATTCCACACTTTCTTCATCCATTTTTCCATTGAAGGGCATTTAGGTTGTTTCCAGGTTCTGGCTATTACAAATAATACTGCTATGAACATAGTTGAACAAATGGTCTTGTCATATGATAAGGCATCTCTTGGGTATATTCCCAGGAGTGGTATTGCTGGGTCCAGGGGTAGGTTGATCTCGAATTTCCTGAGAAACCGAAACACTGATTTCCAAAGTGGTTGCACAAGATTGCATTCCCACCAGCAATGGATGAGGGTACCCCTTCCTCTACAGCCTCTCCAGCAAAGGCTATCATTGGAGTTTTTTATTTTAGCCATTCTGACAAGTGTAAGATGATATCTCAAAGTTGTTTTGATTTGCATTTCCCTGATTGCTAAGGAGGTTGAGCATGACCTTAAGTGTCTTTTGGCCATTTGAAGTTCTTCTGTTGAGAATTCTCTGTTCAGTTCAGTGCCCCATTTTTTAATTGTGTTAATTATCATTTTAAAGTCTAGTTTCACAAGGCAATGTCCCCAGTTAGTTCCTTGGGCAGCTGATTATAGGGAACCTGAAATGACCCTATCCTATAGCAATACTGAAAATATCTTGCATATCACCATAGAACCTTCATCGGGTGATGGATGGAGATAGAGACAGAGACCCACATTGGAGCACTGGATTGAGCTCCCAAGGTCCCAATGAGGAGTAGAAGTAGGGAGAACATGTGCAAAGAAGTCGGGACCACAGGGGTGCACCCACCCACTGAGACAAAGGAGCTGATCTATTGGGAGCTCACCAAGGCCAGCTGGACTGTGACTGAAAAAACATGGGATAAAATCGGACTCTCTGAACATGGCGAAAATGAGGGCTGATGAGAAGTCAAGGACAATGGCATGGGGTTTTGATCCTACTTAATGTGCTGGCTTTGTGGGAGCCTAGCCAGTTTGGGTGTTCACCTTCCTAGATATTTATGGAGGGGGTAGGACCTTGGACTTACCACAGGGCAGGAAACCCTGAGTGCTCCTTGGACGGGAGAGGGAGGGGGAGAGGAGTAGGGAGAGGGGGAAAAGGGTGGGAGGAGGAGGGAAGTGTGGGAGGAGGCAGACGGAAATGGGAGGCTGGGAGGAGGTGGAAACTTGTTTTTTTTTTCCATTTCTCAATAAAAATAATATTACTTATGAAAATTGATAATATCATAGTTGTATACAATGTATAAAATTCCACTAAACTTTATAAGATGGAGAGAAAAAAATAAAAATAAATAAATAAACGAGTTTGAATGTATGATTGTCTTCTTTTGTGAAAGGCATGCTCAAAACATTTTATTAGGGATTTTGGCGTGTGTGTGTGTGTGTGTGTATGTGTGTGTGTGTGTGCTGGTGTGTGTGTTTGTGTTTGTGTGTGTGTAGGGTGGTGTTTCAATTTCTCCATTGTTGTTTTTGTCATTTTAAACTACAAAAGATCTTTGTATACTTGGAAATTTATCAGTCATTAAATGCTTCTTTCACTCTGGGAAATAAAATAAATAAATAAAAGCAACTTCCCACAGCAGGGATTTATTAACTCAAAAAGTTTATCTAAGGCAAAGAACACAGTCAATACGATAAAAGAGCAAGCTAAATAATGGAAAAAGATTTTCATCAACTCCACATCTGATAGAAGGCTAATGTCCAAAATATATAAGGAATTCAAAAAACTAGACATCAACAAACCAAATAAACCAATTAAAAACTGGTTAACAGATATAAATAGAGAATTCACAATGGAAGAATCTCAAAAGCCAAGAAACATTTGAATAAATGTTACACATCATTAGCCCTCAGGAAAACGCAAAACAAAACTGCTTTGAGATTCCATTCTAAACCTCTCAGAATGGCTAAGATCAATAAAAAAAATGACAACTCATGCTGGTCAGAATATGGAGTTAGGGGAAACATTGTCCATTGTTCCTACATCTATGACTCCACTCTAATTGACTTTTAATTCTTTATTCTCAATTGTCCTTGTCTTTTGAAACAACAAAAATCATCAGATCCATTTTGTGCAGCATATTTCCTCCTGGGTGTAGGACATCTCATAGAGTGTGTTTACTTTCTCAGGGCTCACTGTATTGAAGAAAACTGACTCCCCTCCAAAAGATATCAAATAACTATTCAAATATACTCAGTCAGGAGTTGGGTTGAGAACTTTCACTTTTAGATCATTGCTTGAGTGATTTGTCATGATAATCACTTAAGAGAAAACTGTGAAATATAGATGTGTTTAGAGAAACAGCAAACAGCATAAACACCTGGTTAAGATTGCTGATCCCTCTGGATAAATTTGAAATTAGGCAATTTAATAAAATTTCTTTGCATTTTAGTGATAAAAACTTACATTTCTCAGAAATATTATAAATTTGCTTATCAATATGTATTTTTATCAACAATATCTTTTTATGTGTATTTAACTTATAAATACATTATAGTGATATATGTGTATATAGCAATACAAATATGTGCACACAAATATATATACATATACATATGTACATATATATGTATAAATTTAGCAGTATAGTCCTTCTGTTAAGATATGTATTTAAAACCCATAATCACTTTAGGACCTATGCCATAAAGGATGTTGGAGTTTTTTCAAATGCTTTTCCTGCTTCTAAAGAGATGATGACTTTTTTTTCAGTTTCTTTATATGACAGATTACATGTATTGATTTATATTTGTTGAATTATCACTGCACTCCTAGAATGAAGGCTGCTTGAACATAGTGGACTATTTTTTGATATATTCTTAGTTTCTGTTTTTAAGTATTTAATGGAGAATTTTTGCATCTATACTCACAAGGCAAACTGGAAAGTAATTCTCTATCTTTGTTGTCTCTCTCTCTGTGATCCTGGTATCAGGATAAATGTAACCTTATAAAATAAATTTGCAGTGTCACTTCTGTTTCTAATTAGTAGAATGATTAGAGGAGTATTTAAATTAACACTTTTTTGAAAACACAGTTTAATTATTAAACTTAAATGGCCAATTGAGACAAACAGTTCTGAGACCGTTCTTCCACCACTGATTAAGACTGGGGTGGCAGGTGTTAGGGATAATATTCATTTAGCCTTCTGAGCTTTCTGGGCAGACTTGGTGACCTTGCCAGCTCCAGCAGCCTTCTTGTCCACAGCTTTGATGACACCCACAGCAACTGTCTGCCTCATGTCACGAACAGCAAAACGACCCAGTGGAGGATAGTCAGAGAAGCTCTCGACACACATGGGCTTCCCGGGAACCATATCAACAATGGCTGCATCACCAGACTTCAAGAATTTCGGGCCATCTTCCAGCTTCTTGCCAGAACGACGATCAATCTTTTCTTTAAGCTCAGCAAACTTGCATGCTATGTGAGCTGTGTGACAATCTAGTACAGGAGCATAGCCAGCACTAATTTGGCCTGGGTGGTTCAGGATAATCACCTGAGCAGTGAAGCCAGCAGCTTCCATTGGTGGGTCATTTTTGCTGTCACCAGCAACGTTTAAGTTTAATAGTAAAAGACTGGTTAATGATAACAATGCATCGTAAAACCTTCAGAAGGAAAGGAGAATGTTTTGTGGACCATTTTTTTTTGTGTGTGTGGCAGTTTTAAGTTATTAGTTTTCAAAATCAGTACTTTTTAATGGAAACAACTTGACCAAAAATCTGTCACAGAATTTTGAGACCCATTAAAACAAGTTTAATGAGAAAAAAAAAAAAAAGAAAGAAAACACAGTTTAAAACTATAGGACCCTGTTCTTGGCAGCTGGGTTAAAATAATGAGTGAAGGCAGAGAAGTTAGGAGGGGAGGACTATGTGGTCCACGCGAGGGGAAATGAAGAGGAAGTTAAATTTCATGCAGACAGACTAAAAAGAAACAGAGTGTTTTGGTTTTAATACATTCCTTGTTGCCCCAAATTAATTAATATGTGTCAGGGTCACATTATAGAGAAGAAATCAAGAAGCACTTTCCCTGGGGATTTAACCAGGTGCCAGTCAAGATTTAAAGTTTTACTACTCTTTCCCTGTGTCTTCCATCCTTCTCTTCCTGTCTGTCTCATAAGTCAGAATTAGTGCCTAATTGATCATGATTGTTCTTCTACTTGCTCCTGACTGTTTCTGATTCTGTGTTTGCATCATAGCATGGTTTGCTATGCTTTAATTGAACATTTATTCACCTTCACATGAAGGAAGAAATAAGGGATACTTTATAGAAATGTTTAAATGTATTTTGCAAGTGAATAAGTTATATTGACTCTCACTGCTCCTGAGACATATAAGAAACAGTGTTGAAAACATCACATATATCTGTGTTGCTTCCAACATATATTGTGGATATTTATTTCCTAAGGTTGATTTCAAACTAGCTGTCTTTATGATTTATTACTATAACATAGATACACATCAGCATTACACTTGGGTCAGGGGAGTGGAAGATTACATATTTTAGGAGTAAAACTATGCATTAGCTAAAGTTGTAAAAACTGAATGTGTGGGGAATCCAAGGCAAGTCGGATTGGTTCTTACCTGGTTTAAATGCAGGCTAATCACACAGGCTGAGTGAACAGCAGGAAATCCGTAGTAAATCTTAAATGACCTAGACATGCATTGCCTCTGCCTCTCAGGGCCAGCACAACCTCCAGTCTCTAAGAACGTAAGTGATATTTTCATAATCACTCATCTGCACAGCACAGTGTACTTGAAACTTCACACTTCACCCTCAGTCCCTGCTCCCGAGAGTGTAATCCCTCCCTGGTTCTCCTACTGGGAATCTCCTGACGCTACAGGACAGAAGAGGGACTATGCTTCCAGGCTGAACTTCTGAAATGTTCACTACTCTGCTAAAAGTTTCTCTTTCTTACTGATGGGTACAAGAGTTTTTCAGAGGTGATGTCAACTCCCTTAGCATAACTGTAACTGTTCCTTCCTGTGACATCATCCCATAATCCTCCTAGGGAATGAATGCTGAGAACACTCAACCTTCATTTGGGGGGTTGCTGTCAATTTCGTAGCTATATGTGGGTTATAGGTCCCATTGGTTACTGAGGTTTTATCCAGCAGCCAGCATCTCAGATGCATCCAATATGCAGAGGTGAGTGGCTTTCCTTCAGGCACCCTGTCTTCAGAGAACAAGGCAATCTCTGGAAGGTGGGTGACTGTAGACATCACATGATCTTTCTTTTCCAGTCATGGGCTCCTGCACAGGTTGAATGTTCTTAGTGAGAAGCATAATCCTGAGACCTGAACACAATTTGATTTCATGGATGCTGCAGGTGAGAGACACTATCCTGGAATTCTACTTGGGTGCTCTTTTCCAAGACAGTGACCATGTGCTTGCTCCCACTAAGGTGCCTTGCTAGTGACAATAACAGCTTATTACCGGTTTTCAGATTTAACTGCACTACTTTTGGTTTAGTAATCTCAAGCTTTGTGCTGTGGATTGGTAAATCTTTTCTTAAATTTAGTGAGTTATGAGCATTTTAAGAGCTGTTTGATATCCTTTGTATATTTACACCTCAAATACTGCTTTCCCCTGGGGCTTCATGTGGATAATATTTTTTCTTTACTGTAACTAATAGTGTAGAATCGCATAGTGAGAAATTAATATCTTTCTTACAGAGCTTTGTGTTCTGGGTTGTTAAAAGAGGAACAAGTGGTAAATTAATGTTTTAGTATACAAATTCCATGCCCATGGACATTTGAATAACTGATTGAGTGCAACCTCCTGTTACTCGGTTCTGATGCCTCTGCTATGTCCACTTTCTGCAGACACAACTGTTTATGAAGATAGGATCTTGCTTTTTGTTTGTTTGTTTTTTTGTTTTGAGACATGGTCTACTTATTTAGTCCTTGTTGTCCTATAGCTTGTTATGTACACCAGGCAGCCTCACGTCTATAAAGATTCTCTCATCTCTGCCTACTAGGGGCTGGAATTAAAGGTATGTGTTACTATTCCCTGCCCAGATAACGCTTTTGAATTAAAAAGATATGTCCATTATTATTGTGTTACGTGTTAGGTTCCCATTGCATCAATGACTGACAGTATACGAGTTTCTGTCGATTTCTTACAGTAATATTAGTTAAATTTCCTGTCCCCAAATTCAGAAGGAATGCATCTATTTTCAACATTTCCATGTAGTTTCTATTGTGTTTTAATTTCATTAAAAACAGGTGAAAAGTATTACCAGTGATCGTCCCATTGAATAAGTGCTTTCAGTGCATCCTATTGTATATATATTGACAAGTTTTTTGCTATTTCTATATATTTAGATATGATTAGATGTGATAGAGGTATTTTAGTATGATATATACATAATTAAGGATTAAAAAGTAGCATTGGAACACTTAAAGGCAAGTATATGCACATATGCATACATGCAGAAATATGTAAATGCAACTACATGTGTGTTTGACAAAGGAGAATTCAAATGTTTTTGTCTTGATAGCTGATTGCCACAATTTTTAATTTTTTATTACTCTTTGAATATTCTCAAATTTTTGGGCTTTTATTGTTCTCTATTATGTAGTCTCACCTTTTCTCTTTCAGAAATTTATAAGTTTTACAACCATTTTATACCCTGTCATTTCTCACAGTTACACCATATTTCTCTAGCCACCCATCGTTGTGCTTTATTAATTTTTAACACATAAATCATAGTTTGTGGTGCCCCTCTGTTCTTCAGTGTGTGTTCATACATAGAATCATAGTTGAATTATTACGACCATATTTTTAAAGGAAGCTGGCTCCCCCTTTTTTCTAGCTATCAATTGTGAATAGTATTTTAGTTAGGGGTTACTCTTTTCTCTGGAGCCTGCAGGACTTCTTTCTGGTGAGTCTCCTCTTCTTACTGCTTGCTGGGACCTTGCAAACCTTTGGTAGGTCTTCACATAGGACATGCATCTAGTGTAGTTTTATCATTGGACTATCACACCAGTGCACCTGTGGATTTTAAACGAACTCCCAGTTGTAAAGCACTTGAAAAATACTAACATCTATGAATGATAATATAAAGATTAACTTTATCACATTGTACCAGTTTATTATCGGTAATTTACCAGTTAATATTATCGGTAATGTACCAGTTAATATTGGTAATTTAAACAATAACAATTTATTGAGAAGTATCTAACTTCCTATTAGAAAGATACATTATAGCATTTCTTATCAATGCAAGGTAGGTGTCTACACAGTACACTGTTTTGCACACTAAGAAAAATAAAATCCATTTTTTTTTAAGTATCGTCTGGAAATGTTGTGCAGTGACCCAGGTACATGACAGGATGGCCTGCAGAGACGTGGCTGTGGGGATCGTCTTATTGACCCAGACGGCACTGGGAATGCTGGGGAACTCAGTCTTACTTTCTTGTTTTATCATTGCTGATTGCTCTGGAATCAGGGCAAAGCCCACAGACCTGATTGTCAAACACCTAACCTGGGCCAACTTGATAGTTCTTTGCAAAGGAATCCCTCAGTCAACAACTGCTTTTAGTCAGAATTACTATCTAGATTATGTTTCGTGTAAACTTACCTTATATTTTCATAGAGTTGCCAGAGGAGTATCCCTTGGCTCCACATCCCTGCTGAGTGTCTTTCAGGCCATCACTATCAGCCCCTCTAATTCCAAATTGGCACAGCTCAAGGTCAGAGCCCCCAAGTTCATTGGTCTTTCTCTGGGCCTGTGCTGGGCCATCCAACTGTTGGTATATGTCTTCATTCCTGTATACACAACTGACATTTGGGGTAGAAGAAATATTTCTGTGATAAAAGATTTTGGATTTTGCATTGTTATAGATCCTGGAATATTGAAGACACTTTTTGCAATCCTATTTACATCCAATGATGTTATTTTTTGGGGACTCATGGTGCTGGCTAGTGGCTACATGGTATATATCCTGCTCAAACATAAGAAGAGGATGCAGCATATCCTCAAACCCCTGTCTCCTAGGTCATCCCCTGAAGCCAGAGCCACCCACAGCATCCTCACCTTAGTGAGCTGTTTTGTTTTTTTCTATGTAATCTCTATTGTGATTACATCTTATGTGTCTGTCCTTGACGCAACCACTAGGTGGCTGTCTAACACTGGTGTAGCCATGGCTGCGTGTTTCCCAGCAATATGCCCCTTTCTGTTGATCAGACACTATGCTTCCCTTTTCAGGCTCTGCTGTACCTGTTCTCATCAGACAACACACTGTGATTGTATTCTCAGAGAGCTCTAAAAGCTGAGCTGTCTGTATCCCTCTTTCCATGTCTTCTATTCAGTTGTGTTATGTGAATCCACTGTCAGTATCAACCTTCAATGTATACACTAACAGTCTACAAAGTTTCTTTCCAATGCAGTTTGTAACGTATTCTGGACACAGGCCATCCAATGTGTATGATGTGAGGACTGAAACAATAACCCCTTCCTCTTTTAATGGAGAACCTCACAGTAGAGGAGATAATTAAGCTGTGGGGCTATGGGAAGTATAGTCCTTTAGGTGAGTGTATAGGAGGATGG